CAGAGAGGGAAGTACCCTCAACTGGGTTTGTCAAGCCACAATCCCTTTTGTCTAAGAATCCAACTTAATTAGGACCTTACCCACACCTGGCAGGTTTCAGGTTAACTGTGCCAGGGATTCAAACCTGTGGTCAGCCATATGATGTCCTACACTGCAGTCCAGTATGCTACTGATGGCCGCCTCGGCTAGGCTAGATTCTGAAATTGTTCTCACCTGATTTTTTTTCTTTAGCATTATTGAACTGTTTTCTATGGTCACAACGAGCCAAAAACTGCTGAGACTTATGTGACTCATGTTTTAAAAGAATAGTGGGTGCCTCATCAATCTAAATTATCTAGTCTCTTTTTTGTCTTATCTCCTGGCATTGATTTAAGCCTAATGTAATTAAATGATCATCCTAAAATGAATGAACTTTAAAGTACTTTTTAACATTGTATGGGAATACAGCACAATTCATAAATATCCAACTCAATTAAATATGACTGAGTGAACACACCTATATATCTTCCACCCATTTCAATCATCCAATAATTACCCCTTCTTTTTTTTTTCTCTTAAGTAGCCACTGACCTGACTTCTTACACCTGAGGTTAATTTGTCGTATTTTTCAAATACATGAGGTTTTTATTCCTGACTTCTCCGGTTCAATATGAAGTTTGTGACACACCCATATTGTTGCATTTGACTGTATTTCTTTCCTTTTTATTGACTCTAGCATTCTGTTGTCTGAGTATACCACAGTGGAATCTGGGTTATTGTCTTGTTATGAATAATACATGAATAGTCTTGGACTTTCATTTATTCTATACATACATGTCGGTGTTCCTATTGGTTGTACCTCTTTACTGCATTATTATTATTTTATTTTAGAAGGAATGTTCCATGGGGGCAGAAAACATAATTTAACTAACTATATATTTTTAAAATTATTTATTTATTTTATGAGAATGACAGAGATACCCTTGACAGGGTTTTGCCTCATTGCCATTTCCCAGCCCCAGGATTATGGCCTTGCAGCATGTTCAGGTTGGCCTAGGGTCTAAACTGTGGTCTAGCTGTCTTTCTGTTTTTATAAATGCATTGTGTAAGGTTTGGGGATTTTGTTTTAAAGAAGGGTATACTGGGACCAGCAGTTGGCATAATGGCTGTGTCACTGGACTCCCATGTAGTCGACTGCACTTTGAGTCCCAGACCCGGTGGCTTAAACTCATGCCAGAGGCGTGTGCGTGCATGCCCAAGATCCCAGAGGAGAATGGAGGAGAAGGAATTGCAGCCTGGCCTTGAGTGATTTCTCACTTTCTGATTCTGTGTCTCTCTCTGTCTTTCTGGCGAGTGCATGCTCCCTATAACAAAAAACCTCTCCAAAAAAAGAAAGGAGGAAAAAAAAAAAAAGAGAAGGATAGACTGAGTTTCCAAGATCATCTGGTTCAGACTGGGGCACATCTGCCCTGCCTGAGCTATGAGAGTCCTACACCATCTAGTTGGCTCACCGGAAGCTGAGTAAACAGAGACTCAGATGGCAGGACCTGTGCTGCCCCTGACCTCTAGTCGTCCACATCCAAGCTAAGCTTAAGATTCAGTTGCCATGGGAACCAGCAGTTAGTGCAATGGCTATGTCGCTGGACTCCCACGTAGTCGACCGCGGTTCGCGTCCCGGACCTGGTGGCTTAAAACCCACGGCAGGCATGTGTGCGTGCGTGCCCAAGATCATGAGAGGAGAATGGAGAATGGAGGAGAAGGGATTGCGGAGTGGCCATCCCCTCTGGGGGGAGGATTTCTCGCTTTCTGTCTCTCTGTCTCTCTCTGTCTGTCTGGCGAGCGCACACACCCCATAGTGAAAAAACCTCTCATTAAAAAAAAAAAAGATTCAGTTGCCATGATATCCTAAGATAATGCCAGAATTCAGGTGTCTTCTGCCTTTTGTGCTCAGAGAGGCTCTACTTTTAGGGACAGCTTGGCAAAATGACCTCAATGTTTGCAACATAGGGTCTGGACAAATGTTATATTTTTCCTTGTAAATTGAGTAAAGGAGAAAAAATGGGGGGGGGCAGGGGGAGGGAGAGGGAGGATTAAAGACCAGGAAGAGATCTTTTGTTCTCCCTGTTGGCACATTTAGCCATAACAGTTTGATAAGCCATTAATTAGAAAGCGAAGAGCTGAGTGGATACAGGGAGAAATAAGTCTTGCTTTCTCAGCATGATCTCAAAACTTAGTTTAAAAACAGTCATTAGCAACTATAAAGGTCAGCACTTACATAGCTAGCTTCTCAAGCTCCTCTAGACATGCTGAGGTCCTCTGCGTGCAACTAGCCAGGGAAGCCATTATAAGGAGGATCAGGGAAGGCTTCTGATCAGATTGAGTAGACTATATGCAAAGTTTACCTTCTATCAGAGCAGATAGAATAAATTTTAGACAATCACATATTTCTAATGTCCAAGAGTATTAGAACTGGGATTTAAAAATTAATAAATAATAATATAAATCCTTAACACATATCACTACTCTAGATCCACTTGAATGCAAATTCCTAAGGATAGGTCCCTTGTTTTTTTGAAGCTTGCCAGAAATTCTAATATCCAGTCAAGTTTGAGAACCACTTGCAATAGAGTCTGGTTGTGTTTGGCTTATTTTGTTCCAAGGGATTAAGGATTAATTATATAGCTTCATTGTTTAATAGGAATGAAGCAGTGGCTTTCGTTGAGATAGGGAGCTAGTGGTTTTCATTTCTCTATTTGATATTCACCAGAAAAGAGGCTGTGCCAGAGATAAGCATCCTATTTGGATGCAGTTGTTTCAAGTCTCAGAGACATCGTCCCTGGAATTCCAGAAAATCTGTGATGAGGGGGTCTGGTGAGATCAAGTCTGACCCTGTGTCTGGATGCTCCATACAAGCCACCCCAGGGGCCTCAGGATGAATGTCAGTCATTTCCTGGGATTTATTTGCTGGTAATTGGAGGAATTATTTCAGTGAATCACCAATTTGAAAATTCTCTTGGACCAGCAGATGGTGTAGCAGTTATGTCACTGGACTCCCACATGGCTGACCACAGTTTGAGTCCTGGACCTGATGGCTTCAAACTCATGCCAGTACATGTGTGTATGTGTGTGTGTGTGTGTGTGTGTGTGTGTGTGTGTGTGTGTTTATGTGTGTCCAAGATCCTGGGAGGAGAATGGAGGAGAAGAGATTGAGGCGTGGCCATCCTAGGCTGGGGGGAGGATTATTTCTTGCTTTCTGTCTCTCTGATTCTCTCTCTCTCTCTGGTGAGCACATGCACCCAATAGCAAAAATCTCTCCAAAAAAGAAAACTCTCAATTCTCATTTTTATGATGCATTCATTATAGATATTTATAAACATTAATAAATAAATATTTATTGAACACAAGTATTACACAAGATATTAGAAATACAA